TGTGGGTGTCAGGGTGGACTCATGCTAACCCTGACCCATGCTGACCCTGTGGGTGTCAGGGTGGACTCATGCTCTGACCCTGACCCATGCTGACCCTGTGGGTGTCAGGATGGACTCTGTTCTGCTGGGTTTTCATGGCTGATTTTCCAGAAGTAATTCATCAGCCTTCCTATCAAAGTGCCTCCGGGTCGACTGGAACCACCAACCCTTCGATTAGCAGCTGAACACATTCACAGTTGCACCACCCAGGGGACTCCTCAGAACTACTGCACCTCTAAAATGACAACTTCCCACCACTCCAGTCGCTATCAAAATGGTCTTCCAAAGAGGCAACGGGACTCGAGCATTCTGAATGATTCTGTCTGAAAACGCAATCTTTCCCAACGTTTCTCTATTTTTCCTTCCTTCTTTCCAATTAGGATATGGGGGTACAGGTAAAACCAACCTGCTTTTGTAAGGTATCACAAACCCTTTTTGAGATCTGCTAAAAAATCCTAAGTTCCTTTGCTTTCTACCCTCACAAGGAAATGATAGTGGCTCAAGACATTTCTGGAAGCTTTCCCATCACTAAAAACTGAAGGCTTAATTCCTAAAAAGAGAGTGTCCATCAGTCCATCAGTCAAGTTAGCTATCAACAGTGCCACTAGACCACCACTCGTCTGTCAGTCTGTCGTACTGTGGTGGCTGCTTGCATGTTGAGATTCTGAAAGCTATGCCTCAGGTATTTTAAATACCAGCAGGGTCACCCATGGTGGACAGGTTTCAGACGAACTTCCAAACGAAGACAGACTAGGAAGAAGGAGACAGACTACTTCTGAATATTTAGTCACTGAAAACCTTAGGACTAGCCGTGGAACACTTCTAGCACCAGAATATTTTTATTTAACTATGCAAAGGCTTTTGATTGTGTGGATCATGACAAGCTATGGATGATATTCTGGAACACTTACTTGTGCTCATGAGGAACCTGTACATAGACCAAAGAACAAGAGGACACCAAATGGCTTTAAATTAGGAAAGGTGTATGTGAGGATTGTATTCTTTCACCAAACTTATTCAAGCTGTATGCTGAACATGTAATCAGAGAGCTGGATTATATGATGAAAAACGTGACATCAGGATTGGAGGAAGACTCATTAACAACCTGTGATACACAGATGATACAACCTTGCTTGCTGAAAGTGAAGAGGACTTAAATACTTACTGATGAAGATCAAAGAGTATAGCCTCTGGGATGGGTTGCATCTCAATGTAAAGAAAATAAATCCTCACCACTGGACCAATAGGCACCATCCATATAAATGGAGAAAAGACTGAAGTTGTCAAAGACTTCCTTTTGCTCCTATCAACCATCAACACTCATGGAAGCAGCAGTCAAGAAATCAAATGACGTATTGCCTTAGGCAAATCTGCTGCATAAGACCTTTTTAAAGTGTTCAAAAGATTTCAGTTTGAGGACTAAGGTGCACCTGATCTAAGCCATGGTATTTTCAATAACCTCATATGCTTATGAAAGTTAGACAGAGCATAAGGAAGAGTAGAGAAAAATTGATGCTTTTGAGTTATGGTGTTGGAGGAGAATATTGAAAGTACTATGGGCTGCTAAAAGAACAAAAAAACTCCGTGTTGGAAGAAGTGCAGCCAGAGTGCTCCTTGGAAGCCAGGATGGGCCAAACTTCATCTCTCATACTTCAGACATATTATCAGGAGGGACCAATCCCTAGAAAAGGAGATCATGGTTGGATAAAATGGAGGATCAAAGAAAAAGAGAAAGACCCCCAACGAGATGTAAGAGCATGACGACAGCAGAAATGGCCTTAAACGTGGCAACAATTGTGAGGTTGGTACAGGACTGGGCAGTGTTTCATTCTGTGTGCAAAGGGTCTCTATGAGTCAGTACCGACTCAATGGCACCTAACAACCACAACAAAGTGCCACCACAAAGAGCAATCTCAGGCTCTGAATTCTCCCAACTGGGACAAACCTACCTCCTCAAATTTCTTCGTTCTTGCTACTTCACAGATCTGTCCTATGACCCGGATGCGATTGTTCAGACCACACTCGACACTCAGTTCCTAAGGGGAGTGAGAGAATTGATAAGAGCCTGTGCTTGGGTCACAGGTCCCCTAACAGCGTGTCACAAACTACCCTACAAGTAACGACACGTTTTCTAAAACAGGAGATGTGGAGCGGGTCTGTCTGATATCAGAAGCCCCCAAACACTTCACTATCGGATCTCCGTGGAGTAAGAACAAAGTACTTGTTTTCTCCACAACTACAAAGCGTTTTTTTAACCTTTAAAAAAAAAAAAATTTAATAACACAATACAATAAAAAATTATAGCAACATTTACACAGCAAATTAGGTTCCCATTAAAAATTTCCTACACAGGTCATTCCGCAAAATTGGTGACACTTTTCACAATGTCATCCTTCTTGTTCATTCTACTCTGGTTGTACCATTCAAGCACCCTAATTTCCCTGACCCCTGACCTTCCCATCTTTGCTTTAGAGTCCATTTTGGCCAGTTTGTCTCTTACAGAGATGGTGATGGTGTACTGTAAAGTCAGTTCTGACTCAAGAGTGACCCTGTATAGGTTTCCAAGGCTGTAAATCTTTACAGGAGCAGAAAACCTCATTCCTCTCCTGTGGAACGGCTGGTAGTTTCGAACTGCTGACCTTGAGGTTAGCAGCCCGACTTGTAACCACTACGCTATCAGAGCTCCTTAGTCTTACAGAGATAATTTTTTTTTAAAGCTCACTATTTATAGATATTCTTTGTCTCATAAGCCAATCTGCTACTTAGCTAAAAGGTGACCTGAAAAGATAATTTCAGTTTAAGGTACAAATTTTTAAAATTGAAATAAAAGTCTGATAACATAAAATGTACCACGTGACCCATTGTAAAGTGTGTAATTCAGCGGTATTTAGTATGTTCACAAGATTGAGCACCCGTCAAACCAACACACCAAACCCACTGTCGGTGAAGCCAATGCCAAGTCCCAGGGACCCTGCAGGACACACAGGTTTCCAAGGCCATAAATAGTTACAGAAGCAGACTGCCTCATCTTTCTCTCATGGAATGGTTGGAGGGCTCGAACTACCAACCTTTGGTTAGCAACCCAATACCTAACCCACAGTATCATCCCCAGAGTCCCTGTACCCCCATCACTACCATCTAATTTCAGAATATTCTCATGACCCTTAAAAGAAATCTCATGCCCATTAAGTAGTCATTCCCCCACCAAGCCCTTTAACCCACTCTCTGCCTCGATGGACATGTCTATTCGCCATTTGAATCCTGTACTGCATGGAGCTTGGTGCCTGGCTTCTCACTAGGCATCGCATTCTTAGGGTTTACCCACGCTGTCCCGTGCATCAAGACCTCCCTCCTTTTGTGGCTGAGTAAGGCGCCATGAAGGAGCCCTGTAGCACGGAAATGCTGGGCTGCTAACCAGAAAGTGTGAGGTTTCTACCAGCTCAGGGGGAAAGATGAGGCAGTAAAGATCTTTTGTAATGATCATAGCATTGAAAACCTGGTAGGACAGTTCTGCTCCTTCCTGCGAGGTCGCTAAGAGTCAGAATCGACTTGATGTCATGGATTTGTTCTCCGTTGCACAGACAGACCACACTATGTACAGCCATGCACCACTTGATAGGAATTTAGGGATGCAGAACTTCAAGGGTACAAAAATTCAATATTAACTTAGGAGTAAAGCACAAATAGGATTACTGTGGACTTATGCGCCTGACTGCACAGCCGCTTGAACTGCAAAGTCGGCAGTTCAAGCTCACCAGTCACTCCTCGGAAACCCTATACAGGGTCACTATGGGTTGGAACCAACTCGATGGCACTTAACAATAACAAAGCACAAGTGAGGAACCAAATACATAGATGGTTAGTAGAAGCTTCCTAACTACTGTGGGGCTGAATCTGATCAAATGGGGGGCGGGGGGGGGGGGAATTCTTGGGTCAGCATCCACTCCAGACTCCAAGTCCCAGACGGCCACCAGGTCCTTGGGGACAAACAGATGGAATCCAGCCTTCTTGTGCACCTGCCCTGGGCGAGCAACCCAAATGGCACAGGACTAAACTCACTCTCAGGATTTCCGCCGTGATGATGAACTCCGTCTGTTTGCCCTCCGCACACCTGGCGTGTGGTCGTGACGTTCCTAGCCCCAGCAGAGTCTTGAATTTCTCCTTCAAGCCTGAATCTTTACTTGTGGGCTTGGCCATGGTGGCGGCGGAGGGGGGTTCCTCTGTGCAGGACAAACAGACAGAGAGAGAGGTGAGGACTCACAGGTCACCTGCCCCACCTTGAGCTGCACGCTTCAGGTGAGTATGACCACCCTCCAACCCATAGCCAGAAGTCTGTGCAGGGGGTCCGGAAGGGGAGTGGGCCGGGGACGCTTGTCATCTAAGCCCTAGGTAGATGACACCTACAGCAAGCCCCTCCTCGCACCCGCCATGACGTAAGACGAAGGAGGGCCTAGAGCTCAGGAGTCTGGCTCAGGTGGGCGCAGCCCCTGAATACGGCAGGGTCCGCGTCCCCGGCCCGCCTCAGCGCGGACGCCCCATCGGGGCCCAGGCCACACCGCGGTCCAAGGTGGCGTCAGTGGTGGGGCGCCTAGAGTCACTCACCCCGCCCCACGCCAGCCGCGCGCCGGGCCGCCCCGCCGCGACAAGAGCTCACACCCCCGAGACCCAGAATCGCCGACGGAAGCGCGACCCACACTTCCGTCAGCGGCGCGGCGCCGAGGACCAACGCAGTGCTTTCTGGGAATCGTAGTTTCGGGCAGCACGCTGAAAAGAGGCTGGGCGCCTGTCGAATCACGTGGCGGGCCGCGGGGATCGCCCGGGATGTGTAGTCCGCAGGAGGCCGGCATGAAGGTGGTGGGCGTGCGGATGGTGACCCGCAGCCAGGGCCGCGGGCTGGCCGCCGGGCTGCACGAGAGCGGGAAGGAGTCCGCGCCGCTCCAGAAGGGAGAAGCGGCTTCAGGTAGCGCGACACCTGGGCCGGGGCACGCGAGGAGAGATGGATGAACGGGTGTGTAGGGAATGGGGACTGCAGGATAGGATCCCGGGCTGCGGCCGAGGGCTCCGAGCCACGTGGGCTGGCGCCGGGCACCTGCAAATGAGCTTCCAGGCCCACTAGCGACCTGCCCTGCGCCGTGGTCCCAGGACAAACGAGAAGGGGCACGCAGAGTCTGAGTGTTAGACACCCGTACACACAACACACTCTTGTCCTGAGCAAGATGATTTCTCCACCCACCAGCTGCCTTGTGCCAGACCGTCTGTGGGGCAGCCCCGCCTTATCCTGTAGGTACTTCCTTCTCAGAGGCCAGGACTCAGGACACCCCAGAAGTCCCTCCTCCTTGCTAGAAAGAAAACAGGAAAAGGGGTGGTACCACAGCTTTCAAGCAAGTAAGGGATTGTTGTTGTTAAGTGCCTTCGAGTCGGTTCCAACCCATGTAACCCTTTATAGGGTTTCCGAAGAGCCGCTGGTGAGCTTGAACAGCCAACCTCTTAGTTCACACAGCTTTGCAGTTTGGCACATTAACCCGCAGTGCCACAACAGAGCAGAAGTAAGGGGTAGACAGTCTCTTTGTCAAAAAGTTGGGAAGTTCGAGCCCATCCAGAAGCACCTAGGAAGAAAGATTTGTCTACCTACTTGTTTTAAATTTTGTTTCTATTTAATACGGTTTAACAAACCATTTTATACATTTTCCAAAATACCAAGGTGAAGGTGGTGGTAAGTGCCGTTGAGTTGGTTCCAACTCGTAGTAATCCTGTGTAGGGTTTCTGAGGAGCAACTGGTTAGCAGTCCAGTATTTATTCTACAGTGCCACACCAGGACTCTAAATACCAAGGAATTCACTTTAAAACAAAAACATACACTGGGGATCTATTTCCAAAGTGAAAAAAAAAAACAAACAGCCCCTGAAAACCCTGTGGAGCACAGTTATGCTCTGATATGCATGGGGTCACCAGGAAGAGAAATTGACGAGACGGCCCTGGAAATGTGCTGCCAAGTATGATTCTTGTAGAGCCTAGACTTGGCCAGGATTGATCCAAAGGGGTTTTCCCAGTGGTCGTCCAAGCAAGGATACCCACTTGGACAGAGGCGTTATGGAAAGGAGAGGGGCATAGGTGAATGGCCAGGTTGCAGGATGGAGTTTGGGCCTCGTCCCAGGGAGTACATCTGGAAGGCAATGCGGAGCTTCCTACAGGGCAGCAACACCATACCGGTTAGATGTTAGGCATTTTTGTCGAGTGCGGTGTGGCAGCGTGGAGGCACCCTGGCAGAGCTGTTACTGGGATCCTCTTGTGCAGCATGGACTTTGCCCAATGGACAGTGAAGTCAGGAAGGATGGCACGCCCCAGGATATGCGCTAGGGATGACAAAAGTGTTCCTCGCCTGTAGTAGGTGACAGCAGTCACTGGCTGAATGAGTGAGGGACGAACTGGCAGGTTGGGTAGCACCCAGCCCTGGCCTGTGGTTCTGGCTAAAGAAACCAGTGATGCTTTTTTGCAGAGGGAAGGCAAAGCCATCACACCATGAAACGCAAGCGAAAGACACAGAGACTTCGAGTGGCTTACGAGGCCATGGATGGTGATGGTGAGAAAGACAGACGGGTTGAGCCCTTCCAGACACTTGGCGGCTGGGAGCCCCGGGATTGGCGGCAGCAGCTGGAGAACATCCGCGCCATGAGGAGCAGAAAGGATGCGCCTGTGGACCAGCTGGGTGTAGAACACTGCTACGACTCAGGCGCACCTCCAAAGGTGGACAGGACCCCCGGGGGCCACCTCCCAACGAGGGGCACACTTCCTCTCAGGCTTCAGGCAGGGCACAGCCGGACACCCAGCAACTCTTGCCAGACCCCTGCAGGCACACTTGGTGGCCAGAGCACTGGGTGGCATTAGCTGGTTCATTTGGGAATGCCCTCCACAGGTTGGGGTGTCTGTGGTCAGGACCTCCTGCTAGCCCCTCAGCCATGCACACTACTGGCAAGTTGGGCTTTGCTGAGCGTCACTGGCCTGGGGCCTAGGGCCTTGACCAGAGTTCTAATTCTAGCTCTGCTACTGGGTGACTCTGATATATGCGTATTTCTCTGTGAGCCTTAGTTTGCTTGTCTGTAAAATAGGTACGCTGATCTTTCACCAAGCAGGGACAGGGTCAGCTAGGATTCTAAGCACCACGATAGCTCATTTCAGTCAGTGAGCAATGCTGTGAGGCAGGTACTGTTCCATTCCCACAGTTACAGGTGACAGAACCGCCCCCAGCCAGGCTGCAGGTGGACAGAAGGCAAAAGTCCTGACCTGGCCCAGCCTAACCAGTGACCCCCACCGCCCGCCTCCCTGAACCCTGGCACTCTGCACGCAGGTGCGCAGGTTCCAGGTGTTACTTTCGCTGATGCTGTCTAGCCAGACCAAGGACCAGGTAACAGCAGGTGCCATGCAGCGGCTGCGGGCGCGGGGCCTGACAGTGGACAGCGTCCTACAGATGGACGATAGCACACTGGGCACACTCATCCACCCTGTGGGCTTCTGGAGGGTGAGTCTGGCCTGGGCTTGGGGGTCTTGAGCCACTGAGGCCAGATTTGCATCTGTCAGAGCCCTCACCCCCAGCCAGCAGGCACTAGCCGAGAACCCCTTGGCCTTTCCTGTTTGCGCCCCGCTTCCTTCCTTGTCCTCTCCACCCTTCCGCACTGGCTGCCCACCCCATTTCTCTTTGTGTAGTCAAGGCTCCCCAGAGTGCATCACCTCCCCCCCCTGAAGCCCCGCACCCTCTAAGACACCCGAGGCGGCAGCTGCCTTCACACCCATCAGAATGTGTGGTGTCTCAGCTGAAGGCAGCTCCTTGCGTGGGGCCTGCCAGCTGGGTTTTAAATAGACCCCAGGAACAGCACAGGATGGGAACCTCCCGGTGGGCCCGGCAGCTGCTGGGGGAGCCCCAGGGCCTGCCTTGCTTCCCTGCTACAGACCCAGGTGCTATGAAGCCCAGCCTATGGGAGCTGCTGGCCACAAGTAGAATGGCAGGCAAGGCGGCCTGAAGCAGACCCCACACCCATGTCATTGGCCAGGGCAGGTGGGAAGCAGGAATCCCAGCCTACCCTGGGCTCTCACCTCCCTGCTGTCCTTGGTGTGTTCTCACTTCCTAGGGGAGGTGGTCAGGTGCCTCTTCATGTCTCTTGGGTAGGTGACAGTTTGGGCCACCTGTGGGGCCCCCCGGTCTCACCTGCCAGGCCTGACCACACCTGTACCCCTACCCCACCTGACAGAGTAAAGTCAAGTACATCAAGCAGACCAGCGCCATCCTGCAACAGCGCTACAATGGGGACATTCCCGCCTCAGTGGCTGAGCTGATGGCCCTGCCGGGCGTTGGGCCAAAGATGGCGCACCTGGCTATGGCTGTGGCCTGGGGCACTGTGTCGGGCATCGGTGAGTGGCAAGCACCTCACAGGAATGAGGGAGGGCCTCATGGCCTGATGGGGTTCCCCACATTCTCAGGCCCCACAACAACCCAAAGGGCTAGGCCTCCACCAACTAGACCTGGTTCTCACAGCCAGGGCTTACCTCTGCTGAGTACCTGCTGGGTGCAGAGGGAGCCCCCAGGGACAGACACGGGGGAGGGCATGCTATAGGTGGTGAGGAGTTAGCTAGGCGGCGGGAGGGGGACGTGGGTTCCAGGCAACAGGAACAGTGTAGGGAACGTTGGGAACTCAGGTGGGGGTAGGCAAAACACAGTGGAGCTGCTGACTAGACAACAGAGGGGCCAGAGCAGTTCCCCCCTCCACCCCACCCCCCGAGGTTCTTTTCCTGGGCCCAGGGATAAGGGGAGTCACTCCTGACCCCCTCCTCTGGGACCCAGGTCAAGGAGGCAGGAGCCCGCATTGATTTTATAACCCAGGGTCCCTCCTGACCCCTTCTCTGGGGTCCATGTCGTGTTGGTGGGAGCCCCTTGTGACTCTGTAGAGACCTAGGCAGCTCTGCCTCCTCTTCCCCTGGAGCCTAGGAGTGCTGGTCGTGGTCATGGTGATGGGTGGGGTGGGTGGAGGTGCCACCCCTGGGAACTGGGACCCAGTAGGAGCTAGGTGGGTAAAGGAAAAGGCACGGCTCCCTCCCCTTGGGCATCTCAGCAGACACGTGGGTTTATCTGGGGCTGTCCTCGGCCACCTATGTTGGGGAGCATGTCGGTCAGGGGTAGTGGAAGGCTGGCAAGGAGATGGAGGAGAGTGAGGGGATTCCCCAAGAAGGGCCTCATTAGGAAGTCAGAGTTCTGGGGGTCCTGAGTCCTTCCCTGCTAGGTGGGCTTGGGCCATAAGGCAGTGGGTGGAAAAATCGCCCTCCTTGGCAATGCCGACATGGGGAGTGGGACCACCCCACTAAGCTCACACTGCGGGCCCAAGCTAGACGCCTTCATATCCCAACCTCCTGGCAGAGGTGTCACCTCCATGTCACAGAGCAGGACACCACATTCATCTGAACCTCCAGGGCCCCCTCTGTGGCGAGGGGGAGGATTCACTTTCCTCTGGCACATGGGGTTAGGGGAACAGGATTTCAGTCAGGTGACCTGGGCCATGGAGAAGGCATCCTAGGTGGGCAGACACCCTGGCTCCACTGGCATGCCCATCGACAGGAATGGGAGGTGGCCAGATGGAAGACATCGGCCTGGACACACTGCCCACTCAAGCAGTGCCAGCTGATGGGTAGTGACCTCATGACCCATGAGGCCTGGTGCCCAGGGGGCAAGGCCATCCCAGACTCAGAGCGGCTGGGGACAGGGGCCAGAGTCAGAGCTATCACTAGCAGCAATAAGGTTGGGCTTCAGCATCTGCGCCTGTAACTGTCCCCTGGGGGCTCAGAACAGCGTAAGTGTCAAGGAGGTAAAAACCCAGGGTGGCTAGACTCTGCCACCAAGGACCCGATCAGCTGTTCTGCCAGGGGAGTGGACACCAGAGCAGGGACCTTCCAGCTCCCTGAAGTCAGCCTGGACCCCAGCATAGCCCCAAGATCTGGCTCTGGGCCTGTCTGGCAGGCAGGAGGCAGAGCTGCCATCCGTTTGCTCTGCTCCCTGTGGGTCCTTGGGAGTGTGGTCGCGTGGCCGCTGAGAAGTCAGGTCAGGGGTTCCTGTCCCACTGCCCCTTGTCGCTCCAGACACCCCTGTCCTGTCCGGCGGGTACCAGTAGGTGTCCCCAGCTGAGACTAGGAGATGGGAGGCCAGAGTTTGAGCAGAGCAGGTCAGGTGGTGCAGTAGGCTGGCCCCTGGTCACTGGCCCTGCCTGTCTCCACACAGCGGTGGACACACACGTGCACAGAATCGCCAACCGGCTCAGGTGGACCAAGCTGCCCACCAAGACGCCAGAGCAGACCCGTGCTACTCTGGAGGAATGGATGCCCAGGTACACTGGGGAGATGGGGACTCACAGATGTCAGGCCTGCTCCTTGTGCTGACCCAAACTCTGCCCCCACAGGGAGCTGTGGGGAGAGATCAACACTTTGCTGGTGGGCTTCGGCCAGCAAACCTGCCTGCCTGTCCGCCCACGCTGCCAGGATTGCCTCAACCGGGCACTGTGCCCCCTGGCACAGGGACTCTGAGGACGCAGGGACTATGCTGGATGAGGACGCCCCCTCCAGCCTTGCGTGTTACGTGCCTTTGCCTGGGAGCTTCAATAAAGTTTTGGGATGTTTGCTGGAGTCTGGCTGGATTTTACCCCTGGGCATGAGGCGGCAGGCAACTGGTGGGCCATGCATCTATGCATGCATGTCTGTGCTCATGTGAGCTGTACACAGTCTGTGTATCTATGCATCTGTGAATTGTGCCTGTGTATGTGTCTGTATGCATCTGAGAGCTATGTCTGTCCTGGTATTTGTGTATGTGAGCTGTGTGCCTATGTGCCTATATGTGTGTCTGCATGTGTGAGTTATGTTTTGCCTGCATGTGTCTGCATGTTTTCTTGTTTGGGTTGTGTGCATTTCTGTATATGTGTGCAGCTGTGCATGTGAGCTCTATGTTACATGTTAATCTGCATGTGAAGTGCCTCCATGTATCCACATGTATGGGTGCATGTCTGTTCATGTATGTGCTTTGCTTGCATACATACCTGCACTATGACTCTACACATCTATGGGCTTGTACATGTCTGTATGTATTTGCATGTGTCTTTCCCTGTGTGAGTTATGGACATGCCTGTACATGTGACCCACGTACATCTGTGCCTGCGCATTGTGTACCTGTTTGTGTGTGAGCTGTGAACGTGTCTGAATGTGTGTCACGTATGTGTGCGTCCATGTGTGAAATATTTCTGAGCTGTATACATTGCCTACATGCATGTGGACATGTTTGTGTGTGCAAGTCATGCATATATCTGCCCGTGAACCATTCACGTCTGTGATCTGTGTATGTCTGCATGTGAATCCTGTATGTCTGCTCATGTGAGCTATGCACATATTTACGCATGCAAGCCACACATCTGTCTTTGAATTGTGTTGTGTGCCGCATAAGAGTATACTGATGTGAGCCATGCAGTGCCTGTGTGAGCTGTGTACATGTTTATGCATGTGAGTCCTACCTGTGTCTGTGTGTGAATTGTGTGTTGTGTGAGCCATGCCATTTTTGCATGTGAACTGTGCATGTCTAAGCTGCATGCATGTCTGCATTGGGTGCTATATACGTTTCTGTGTTGGTGCATGTATCTGTGTGCTGTTTGTCCCTATGTATGAGCTGTGTGTGAGCCATGTACATCTATGTGGGTGTGCTCTGAACACAGTCTGCACATGTGGACTGTATGTGTCTATGCATGTGTGAGCTGTGTATGCCTGAGCCATATCTGTATGTGTGAGCCAGGTCTGTGTGTGAACCATACATTTGTCTGCGTGTGTGAGCTGTGTACGTCATTGCATGTGGACTGTATGTGCATGTCTGTGAGCCATGTGTGACTGTACTGTGAGCCGTGTACTTGTGAACTGTGCACGTCTACACGTGAGCCACGTACATGTCTGTGTGAGCCATGTACATGATTATGCATGTGGGGTGTTGTGTGTGTGTCCTAGCCGTGTTAGTGCCTGTGTGTGAGAGCCATTTACATGGCTATGCGTGTGGAGTGGTGTGTGTGTGAGCCCTGTATGTTTAGCTGTGAGTGTCCCTGCTCAGGGCCAGGCAGACGAGCTGCGTGCCTGGAGTGGGTTGTTGGGAGGCCGGGACCCTGGATGTGATGTGGGAGGAAGTTGTGAAAGCCAAAAGGCAAGAAGCTTTCCTTGGGGTCTCCTTGCAGACGGGGATCCAGACACCACCACCCCCGAACTTGTGCACTGAAGCCCATCTCTGCTGGGCCCCGCCTGTGGCAGAGAAGCACCAGCTGGGTACCACAGGCACAAGGCTGCAGCTGGTGTTCCACAGGGTGAGGGGTCACCCACAGGAGCTGTGAGGAACATGGCCCAGGTGTGGCCACACTCCAGATGGGCACAAGGCGTGGGGAATACGGCAGATGGATGGAGGGGGCGCCTACCCTGACCACAGCCCCCACCTGGGGACCCCCAGAGCAGTCAGCTTGCTCCTGTCCCCACCCCATCAAGGATCAGAGAAGAGAGGGCCTGGGGTCAAGGCAAGACCTGTTTATTCCCGAGGCGCACATGCGCTATGGCTTACAAGGCAGACAGCGATGTCGGTCACGGGTCAGTCACAGGGTCAGGAGCAGAAGGCAAAGGCAAAGGGGCCTGTCCAGAGCCTGCCCTCCACGGGATGCAGGGTGTCCATCCTCAGGCCCCTGGAAGATCCCTGGAGCTGGGGGCAGGGGCAGCACAGAGATTGCAGGGCAGGAGGGTAGGGGCCAGCTCCCAGAGTCCCTAGAGGACCGGCCTGGGGCCCACCACCCTCTGTCCCTGAAATGCCTGTGACTGCTGACACTGGGAGGGGGCTGGGGAGGAAATGGTTTACAGAGAAAGGCCTGTTTTATTGCAATTATTGAGAGAAAGAGTCCCGGAGGGGCGGGGAGGGGGCTTTGCTAAGTGGGAACGTGTGCAGAGCCTGAGAGTTCTTGGAAGGAAAGCAAAAATAAATTCCGTTACAGCAGTGGGTCTGGGGCCCAGCCACACTCCTCAGCATCAGCACCGCTCTACTCTCAGTCTGTCTCTCCACGGTGTCTCTCACATCTCTGAGTCTCTCCCCAGCTTGCTAAACACAGTTCCGGCACATGGGTGGGCAGGCGGGTAGGGTCTCACTGGCAGCAATGGACCACCATGGCTTCTGGGGTGGAGGTGCCTCCTCAAGTTCACTGAGACTCAGGGAGTGCAGTGCAGGTCCGGCCCAGGCGCCCCAAGGTCCACATGGGGAGGCCGATGGGCCAGCCCCCAGGCTGGGCTCAGAAGTTGCTGAAGATTTCCCGCTTGCGGCTCCAATCCATGGGCGGTGCCCGCTTGTTGACCCGCGTGGCCCGTACCTTCTCCTTGGCCTCGGCCGCAGTGGGGCTCAGTTGCAGGCCGCTCTCCTGGAAGGGATCCCGCTTCCAGGTGCCGCCGTCCTGAGGGGCAGAGGGGCAAGGTGAGCCCGGTGCACCGAGCCCGGCCATCCCACTGGTAGGGCTGGGGTCCCAAGAGGGCTTCCTGGAAGCAGTGGACTGCCTAACATCAGCCTTAGGTTCAGTGTGAGGACAGCTGTGGCCATGGGTGGGATTCACTCACCTCCATGTCCTTGTCCAAGCCAGGCAGCTCACTTCGAGATGAGCATGCTGAGCCGCCATTGAGCTGGGAAAAGAGAAAATGATGGTGACAAGTGCCTGGCTGGTGCACATATGCACTCACACACATACATGCCCAGTGCACTCGCATATACCCACACACATACGCACACTCACATATACACTCACTCATGCAGCGCACACACATGCATCCACATGTACACTGCATGCATATACTCACACACATGCACATATACACTCACATGTGCACCCATGCATGCACATGCCCACAATGCACATGTGCACTTACACAAGTGCACACATGTGCACACATGCACGTACACACATGCACAGACTTGCCCCCGCACTGTACCCACAATGCACCTGTGCGCTCACCTGTGCACAAATGTACGCACTCTCGCGCATGCACAAACTCATGAGTGCACACTCATGGGCACACACGTGCATGCACACACTCAATGCACACGTGTTCACACATGTACACATGTATGTACGCAGTCACAAATGCACTCTCGCACAGGCACTCATGTGCACTCGCAGGTATGCACGTACTCACACTGCCCATGTGCGCTCACACACATGCGCACATGTACATGTACTTGCACGCAGCACACACACGTGTATACCCATACACACATACATACAAAAGAGCTACACACTCCCCCAAATGAGGGACTTGGTGCCCCCCACCCACCCACAGCACCCGGCCTGGCCAGGACCTGCCCCAGCAGTGAACAAGACTAGTGGCCTCTGCTTGCAGGTCACGCATGGCGCACACCACTCTACCTGGAGTGAGGAGGACCCTGGACAGCTAGGACAGCGCAGCAGAGACTCCGAGTCCCAGTTAGCCTGGGCTGTAGTCCCAAAGGCAGGAAAAGCCAGAAGCAATCGTGCCAGATCTGGCATCTCATGTCTGCACTACCCAACCCCATGCCCACACCGGGGCAGGGCTCCTCAGGAGCCCCAGTCAGGTCTGAGCACTTGGACCCACTGTCTCACCTGGACAGGGCTGGTCCCATTTGAGACGGGGCACGGCAGCACACCTGTAGGGGAAAGCGTGTCAATGCTGCTGCGCCCTGCCCCTCACTGTACCCCGGACGCCCCCTTCCCAGACCTCATCCCCACCCACATCCACCTTGCATGTGCTCCTCGGTGGGTGTGACCCGCAGACGCTTAAAGTGCTCATCGGTCTCGGGGTCCACCACCAGCAGCCGGGCCTCATCCTCACGCGCCTTGATGCTGGCCACCACCTCGGCGTGACGCAGCCCCTCCACATTCTGCCCGTTCACCTGCCATCAACACAGCATCAACACTGCACCATGTCCCCTTCTCCCCACAGGGAACCACTTCGGACACACATGGGGAGTGGGGGGCAGGGGTAGATCTTGACTCTTGACATCGACAGACACAGACAGGGAGATCTTGACACTGACACCCAGGGGGGCTTGACACAGATACACATGAAAACAAGCCCAGACACATAAGACATGAACACAGATGCACATAAGAGAACATGGACCCAGATATGGGGGTGGGGGGTTCTGGAGACAGGCATACATGGGAACATGCAGGAAAGAACACGTGTGGGCATCCATGGGTACAGACATACGGGGGCCACATGCCCCCAATGAAACAGCAAGTCACAGGGTACCTCAATGAGTCGGTCCTGGGCACGGAGGCCGGAGTGAGCAGCTGGTGAGCCAGGGTCCACGGAGCGGATGAACTGACCAGGCCGGGATTTGTCACTGTGCAGGTTGAACCCATAACCCTGGGGGCCCCTTCGCAGGTGGCAAAGCCGTGGTCGCAGCTCCTTTGGGGGGCCATTCACATCCTGTGGGTGCGACAGTGTCAGCTCAGGTCCCTGCACAAACCACCCAGCTCAGTGCCAAGATACCTGCCCAGACCCTGGTACTTGTCAGGGTAGTCTTGGGCACAGTCTCCATTCTTGAGTCCGGAAGTCCCTAAGATAGGATTGTGCCCCTATCTTAGCCCAGGTGGAGTCATGGGGAGAGTCCACACTTCCCAGCCTCAATGCTGTCCTCTGGGCCAGCCCGTGTCCCCACGTGCCCCTCCCTGGGAGTGGAGCGCAGCTGGCCGCATCCTGGGCCTAGAGTTTTGTTTTCTCTCCCCAGGGCCTGTATTTGCTTTCACATTCCAGCAGCCACTGGAGCCACCCCTGCCCCCACCACAGCCAAGAAACCAGGGGACAAACAAGGAGAGAAAGAAGTAGAACCGAGTGAGGCCTCAGACCTGGGCTGCCTTGGAGGGCCCATCTAGAGCTGCCTCGATTTACCTCTGGCATCCTGCAGTTGGGCTCTGGGCCCAGGAGCTGTTGAGGCAGGGTTAGGGCTAGGATCCCACCAGCCGACCCGGCAGCGACCAGGGTGCAGACTGTCCAGCAGCCGCTATGCTCAATTAAACATGGCCCGGGCAGGCGGGCAGCTCAGGTTTCCCGGGAGCGCTTGGGGCCTCCAGGTGTGGAGGTGAGAGTGTGCAGGCAACACTTGATCTTGGAGACCCTCTCTTCCTTCCACCCTCACCCCACCTGAGTGTTGCTAGAGGGCTGACCCTTCACCTGTCCACAGACAGGTCCTTCCAAATCCCACATCTACCTGGAGCCCTCAAACCTCCCACCTGAAGATGGTCTCACTGCCACCTGTGGGTCCCGACTCCCAAGACAGAGGAGAACTGTCCCATGGGACTCAAAGACTACAGGTCATTATGGATTCACACTGCCACATCTTTCTCTCTTGGATCAGCTGACAGACTCAAGCCACCACCGACCTTTTGGCTAGCAGCTGAGCCTTTAACCACCCACCATGACACAAAAACAGCCCTCTGAAGCTAAACCCACTGCCACCAAGTCAACCAATCCAGACTCATAGCGACCCGACAGCCAAGAGCAGAACCGCTACCCTGGGTTTCCAAGGATGTGAATCCTGACTTCCACATCTTTCTCCTGAAGAGCAGCTGGTGGGTTTGAACCTCTGACTTCGTCCTTAGCAGCCAAGTGTTGTTCCTGTTCCCAGGTTTCTCCTCTCCTGCTCTCCCCATTTGAAATTCTCACTCTGGTTCTGCTTGCCTTTGTTCCTGACCCCTTTGTTAGTCTGAAGCTGCCTTTGTTACTCCCTTTGGACTTCCTGAGTTCCTTTTTCCCTGGAGCTGCCTTTGTTACTCTGGGGTTGCAGTGTTCCTTTGACCCTTCCTTGGTTCCTAGCCCCCTGATGTGACTCTTCCCTGCAGGACTCTCCTCCCTGCTCCATCCTCTGTCACCCACCGAGACCAAAAAACCAATCTTTGTGAGCCAGTCAGTTCTGACTGGCCCAGATCTTTACAGAAGCAGAGTGTTACTGGTGGGTTTCAACTGCTGAGCTTAGCACTTAGCACCTAACCCCTGTACCCCTAGAGATCTTGGGTGGTGCCCAGTATGAGACAGAGAGACCAGGGCTCTGGGCCTCCCTTTCCAGCCACCTGGAATGTGCTCTTTCTGTCCAGCCTGGGTCCCACCTCCTTCAGGACCCCTCCTCTGGAACTTTCCTGCTAACCCAGAGCTCCCTGAGCAACGCCCCCCGCCCCCCCCAAACACACACACACACACACACATCCAGTCACACAGCTGAACTCAGGATTTAAGGACTAGGAGGCTCAGCTGGATCACATGGGCCCTAGACGTACTGACTTGACCCCTCTCCCAGATACCCCACAAGGTACAGGCTGCAACTTTGAGACCAGGGTCAACCCACCCATGAGGGAGGCTGGGGAGGGTCGTCCTCCAGGTAGGGAAGGAGGACAGAGTATGGAGTGAGAGGCCATGGCTGCAAATGGCCATAGGCCCAAGTAGCTGGAGCATGTGAAGTGACCTAGTGACTCAGCTCTGAACATGCCACCCTGGGGACCTGGTACCACTCACTGCGCACACCCCCCCCCCCCCCCCCACACACACACACACACACACACGGGCACTCTTCAGCCTTTTCCCACGCCCTTGGTCCTGGCCTCCAGGGTTCAGGTCCCAAAGAGAAAACAGGATTTTGGAGGTCAACCGGGGCACTTCCTGTCAGCACTGTTATAAGTGGAATCCGGGGTCCGCCGGGCCATCTGGTCAGGCTGGCCAGCCATCCCCCTGCCTCAACCCAGAACAGCTGTCAGCATATGCTCCAGGAAGTTCCTCCAATAGTCTAGCCTAAATCCCTCCCTCACTGAGCAAGATTCAAGGGGTGCCAAACTTGGCCCTGGGCCATCAGGTGACTTTGGGCTGCAGTGGCTTTGGGACGGGGTGGGGGGGTGGGGGGTGGGTGCTGGCTCTGTGGCAGCCTGGCAGGGTGGGCAGGGCAGGCAAGCAGGAGGGGGCCTCAGGGCTGCTGCGGAGGGAGAGTGCATTGCTGACATTCCTTGTTCAGCCCTGGCTGGGGTTACTTCCTGCCTCTCCTGGCCAGGCCCTCGGCTCCCACAGAGGCCGCCAGCCCCAGCCACCAGTCCAGGCCTGTGACTGGACAACTGGACAAAGAGGCTGGCATGGGGGTGCCGGGAGCCAGGCTGGGCCCCCCCAGAGGGTGACGCACCAGTCTGGCAGAGAAAGAGCCCATTGTTGCTTGGGGTTCAGCTGGCCTGTACCAGGGTCCCTAACATTCCCTATCCCTACCCTGGGGGGCCAGCTGGATCTGACCCACCCCACCCCAGCCTCTCTGACCTGGATGAATCCTCGGGGTGGACTCCTTGGAGGGGCTCCTGGGGCCGAAGTGGGCAGCGTGGTAGCCCCAGAGCGGGCCATGGTGGGACACTCGAGTGGCTGTAGGTGTCCAGTGGGGACGGTCTGAGCTCTCTAGCTTGCCCAGGCTGCCACCCCCTTATCTACCTCCTGTTGTGTCCCAGTGTCCCTGGGGACTGGGGACGGGTGGAGTCCTGGGGGCTGAGTCACTTTGGGGAGCAGGGTGGTGACACAACCCCCCACCCCTCTCAGGCTCCAGTCCGTCGCCCCGCGCCCAGCTGGATTTCCGTCCCAAGAAAGGAAGGAAGGAAGCGGCTGGAAGCCCAGCCCTGCCTGCTCCCAGAACTCAGGGCTGGGGGGACAAGGAGGCCAGGGAGGGGACCCCTGCCTGGACAGAAGACAGTCCATTGCGGCCTCTGGGGAGTCCTGAACTCTGCACCCAAGTCAGCTGGCCTGGCCTCCTCAGGACAGGGAGAGGGGACTCTGGGGACCCTATACCACACGTGTTCCCCATGACTGACACCCCACACTGACTCAGCCTCCAGGGCCTCCAGAATCCAGGTGGACAGACAGCCAGGCTGAGGTAAGGGGGCTGGGCACAGGTTGAGGCACCACCCCCGGCCCGGGCACTGTTAGCTGTCTCTGTTTAGGGGCTGTCCTCTGGCATCACTGTGCAAATCAGCTGCAATGCAGCTGTGGCCACCCACGGCCCGGCTGACTCACCACTGACAAGCCCCTCCCAGGCCCTCCTCCCCCAGCCGGGCCATGCCACAGGAGGAAAATTAGGCTCTGGGCGAGCAGGCTGGGATGGCCCCTCCATCACTTGCTATAGCAACACCACACACAGCCTTGTGGCCCCCTCCCTGCCACCCTGCCCGGACACCCAACTGGTGCATCAGACTCGCCTAGGCTCAGGGGAGGTACAGAAACGGGGTACAGGAATGAGGCGAGGCCAGCCCCCTTTCCCCGTGAGCAAGCTGGGAGAAGGGAAGACCCTTTTTCTGGGCAACCCTGTAGCAAGAGGAAGGGGTCTGGGTTCCTACTCCCAAACAGCACCATCCACAAAGGTACCCCTCCACCTGCCAATCAAGCTGCCTTTTGTTCCTCTCAAGATACACCCACAGGAAGCCCCCTCCTGTGCTTCCTGCAGCCCCCAGAGCCTGAAATAGCGGGGAGGGGAGGCCCCACCCAAGGACAAGGTACTGGGTCACTCCACCCTGCAGATAAGGATGGAGGCTGGATTTTTCCACAGGAAGGTGAACCCCGTCATTTGTCTACATCAATGGACAAACGTCTTGGGTGGGGGAAGCTTCCTCTTGGGGTGGGGAGGGTCCAACCCTTAGCCAAGAGGGGGGGGGCCCAGACCAACCTGCTTCCCAAGAGAGATTGCAGCTCTGCCACCTTAGGGCTCCCATTGCACCCCAAATCTCTCCTTAATGCCCCCCACTCACAAGTGAAGCCTAGAACACATGCCCTAACTGCCTGGCTACCTTCCAGCACCCAATCCTGCCTCAAACACTGCATGCTCAGGCCTTGTACCATAAACATGGTCATCTGCTAAGCCAGGTCACCCAGAACCAGCTCAAAGGCCCTGCAGCAATGCCTCTCCAAACAGCTCTCATCATATGTGGGGGAGATGTCAAGGTCCCCCCATGTTCCCACTGTACTCTAGATGCCCCGGAACTCTGGAACTTGAGATCAGACACTTCCACCACCATCTGGGGAACCCCAAACCCACTACCACCGAGGAGCCAGTTCCGACTCACAGCCACCCTCCAGGACAGAAGTGAAAATCTTTATGGGAGCACTTTGCCATAGCCATCTCCCTCAGAGCGGCTGCCGGGTTTAAATACTGACCTTTCAGATTGCAGCCCAACACTTAACCCACTGTGCCACCAGGGCTCCCGAACCCGTAAAAGGATTGGTTTTAAAAGACTAGAGATCGTGACATCCTGGTCTCTAAGTGTGTGCCCACATGGGGTGGGGCCAGGAATGGTGGTCAGGAGAGGTGGAAGGGGGTACGACCCAGCAGGGTCCCCAAGTAAAAGCAGATGGTCCTCCCAACTAGTTGAGTCCCCAACCTTTTATCTAGGGGGCAAGGGTGAACTCACCCTAGCAGCTTCCCGCAGGACCCCGCCGACAGCACGCAGGACAAAGGGAGCCAGAACACATGACCCCCACTCATGAGCCCTGACCCTAGTTACCCCTGCGTCCCAGTACCAGCCTTGGCAAGGTCCCCACACTAAGTCCCCAGATTGGAATGTCTCCTCAGCTCCCCCCAACCATAGCATTGCCTGGGGTGGAGTGCATGTGCAGACTCCACAGATAGACAAACAGACGTAAGGACAGAACCACAGACAGACAGACACTTGTCACAGGCACAAAGCTGGGCACACTCAGTTGTGGGACGTCCCAGCAACTCCTCCCAAGGTTCCTAGCCTCCGGGGACGGTGCAGCTTCAGTGTGACCCCTCCCTGGGTCAGATGGCTCTGAGTGAGTGCTCAGGGAGACATGAAGACAGGGTGACATGAAGCCAGGCGGCTGGCCCTGACCTCACCCAGTCTAGAACACACACAGAGAAGGTAGACACAGTGGGTCTGAGTGGTGAAGAAGGAAGTCACCAAGGCCAGACTCCGAGAGACGCCCATGTAGACCCTGTGGGCAGAGCCCGCCATACCTTCCCGCCAGCCTCAGAGCCCAGGCTGCCAGAAGCCACCCAGTCCGTCTTCGGTTCCCAGGGGTCCTGGGCGGGCGGCAGCCCTCGATGGGCCATCTCCTCAGTGCAGGTGAGCTGCCGCCGCCGCAGCTCTTCATCTGTCTCCTTATCCACCACCAGCAGCCTCGTCTGTCCCTCCACAGCCTTGATTCGCTGCACCACCTGGGATGGGTGGGTGGCAGGAGCCGGTCAGCGGCCAGCACCCCGGGAACACACATAGATGGCAGAACCACCCAAAACTGGCAGGGCCAAAGGGGGTAGGCGGCTGGACAAGAGGCCTACAGCTCCACCCCCCACCCCCAGCTCTAGCAGTACTTCCCTTCTCCCAAGCTTCGAGAACTACAGGGTGCTGGGGGAAGGGTGATGAAGTTGCCCGCTTCATGCATCCGTCTGTCTGGGAATAAGGGGTGGCGCACATCTGTCCTAGGGGCTAACAGTCTGGGTAGGAGTGAGAAAGAGGTGTTCTGCGGGCTTCAGTCTGGGTTCCTGCATTCCTGTTTTGCTCTCTTCCAGGTGGGTCTTCCTTTCACCTCCAGACCATGAACTTGGACCTGTTCTTGACAAGCTCCCCACTCCCAGATGGGATGGGAGGGATCCCGCCACTCACTCATTCTAGGAGCAGAGGGGGGGAGGGGGGCAGATCCCCTGTGGGTCAGGTGTGGTACCAAGGCCCTTTGTGTGTGATCATGTGTGTGTGTCTTCATACTCACCTAAGGCATGTGCGCAGAATGGAACGCATATACCAGGTGTGGCCACAGGGGTAGGGGCAGCAATCCCACCCCCACCTCATACCCTACGGAGAGGGGAGGAGACAGGAGGAGCTGACTCAAGTCCCTCTCTCCCCACTCTGTGTGATCCAGGTGCTTAGGGGTGACCCCATCTATAAAATGAGACCCACCACTTGACCTCCCTGGCTCCTAGCACCTCCTAGGGCAACGGGTAGGGTCCCCGGGGTTCTCAGAAATTAAGGAACGTGCTGCCGCTGGGAGCCTCAGACACATGGGTGTAAATACAGCCCAGACACCAGCCACATAACCTCAGGAAGGCACACTCACCCAACACCCTGACACACAGAGCCCAGCTCACACACACACAGTCACACATTCACACGCACACACATACAGAGCTCAGCATACACACCGACACAAAGATGCAAGCATACATATGTGTTCACATACTCAGTAACCCTTAGGTGACCCCCCACACATACGTGTGGAAGTGTGTACACACAGGTGACCCCCAGAAAGGCCTGCATACTTGTACACACACACACACAGACTACCATCCAGCAGATCCACTTTCCAACACACGGAGACCCCCCCCAGGGCATACCACCTCGGGTGCTGAGGCCAAAAGGAGCCTCCAGAGCCGCAGTGCGGGCCCCTCCCTGCCAGGAGGCCCCCCCTCCCTGCGGTGCGGGCCAGCTTCCTGGGGGAGGGGGGCTGGGAAGGAGACAGGCGCCGCTGCCTCCGTGGCGCGTCCCCACGTCCCCCCAGAAGCCCTGCAGGCCCGTGGGACCCCTTCTGGGTCAGCTGCACGGGACAGAGGCGTGCCCAGGAGGGTCTGGACCGAGGGCACCCACCTGGTGGTGCGTCTCACCCTCCACATTGACGCCGTTGACCGCGACCAGGCGGTCCCCGGCGCGCAGTTCGGCAGCCTCCGCAGGGGAGCCGGGCTCCACGCGCCGCACGAACTGCCCGCGGCGGCCCTTCTCGCCGTGCAGGTGGAAGCCGAAGCCCTGCTCGCCGCGAACCAGGCGGCACAGGCGAGGCCGCAGCGGCGCGGGCCCTGCCATGGCGGCGGGGAGCAGGGGCGCGGATCGTGGGGCTCAGTTCACCGCACGTCGCCCACCATGCGGGGCGCGGGGGGCGGCGCGGAGGAGGTGTCGGCGGGGACCGGAGTCCTCGGCGGCGACTCGGTTCGGCTCCCGTCGCCTCGGGCTTCGGCTTGGGCTCGGGCTGCAGCACCGCCCCCGCTCCCGCCCCGTCCCCGCCCCTCTGCCCGCGGCCCCGAAGTCCCCAGCGCCGGGCCACCCCCCACCCCAACTCTGGCCTCTATCCCCCGCCGGCCGAGGAGGGGCGTGGTTGCTGGGCAGGGGGAGACTCCCTGAGACACCCCCACCCACCTACCCCACCCTCCGCTGTCTCAGCAACTCCACAAGCCCCACACCCCCTCATTCCCCCGCTCTGGGCAGCCTCCTTGACGCCAGAGTCTGGACTTCCTAGTCTAGGAACATTGAGTACCTGCTGTATGCGCCACACCAAGACAGGCTTTTGAAAAAGGACAAGGAACCCCACACAGGGGCCAGTGGGTAAAAGCAAGGTCTTCCACACCTCACTAGCCCTATCCCAGCGCTGACCTTGCTGCTCACGCCCTCTTTGTTTCATGACCACTCAGAGCTGCCCCTGTCCAGCCTAGGTGAACCCAAAAGGCCTAGAGAGGCTCAAAAGTGACATGGTTGTAACCCCTCCCCATACCCACTAGGTATGCACTCCGGAACACTCCCTGACCCTCCAGTATTTGTGTTCTGTGAAAGTCTTTAAACTCACCCCTCCCTGCCCTTCCCTCTGCTGGGGCCCCTGACTTGTGCCACCAAGAGGCCCCATGCCTGGACAATGACTTTGCAGTTGCTGGTTGGAACAAAGATGGGAGGGTGACATCAGCTTGTCCAGCTGAGACATGGGGGTCTGTGCAACCCACTTCCTGCCTGGGATGCACTGAGCTTCAGACTGGGCTTGAAGCCAGCAGTGGTCAGCACATACCGGGGGTTGTCCTATACCGAACTAACTCCCAGACAGACAATAACAATCATGGGGACAAGTCTGAGAGACAATCACGTCACGTATGCTTTTGCCATGCCTCTGTGGGGACCAGATGTGGTGTGTTTCACCTGTAACAACACTTTACGGCTAAAAAAACCCCTCGTCTGCAAAGGAAGGCAATCCGGCTTAGGTCCAGGGCTGGGAGGTTCCGGAGTCCAAACTACTGTGAAGCCCTCTTGCAGTCTCAAAAGTTGGAAGGCAGTTGAGTTCCCCTCACCCCCTCCAGCCCCTTGTACATACCTGGTTCCTGGGGGCCAGGCAGAGCAAGCCAAGCCAGTTCCCCATGGGGCAGTGGCAGCGGCAGCGGCAGCGTCAGTAGCAGGCTGAGCCTAGTTCGAACTACCCCCTTGCTTCCTTCCAGCGCCCAGGCTCCACAACCCCCGCCTGAACACAAGGCCCACTCGGGAAAGGCCTCCAGGGCCGGGGCCCCTTGGGTGCCACACCGCAGCTGCTGCCCCTAAAAGCCACTTAGGCTGTATAACTGCCCCTCACCCCCTCCTTTGCAGTTCTGGCTAATGAAACTAGAGGCTTCAACCTGGCTGGTCGCTATCTGTCTGTCTGTATGCCTGGCCTGTGACCGGTCCTCCCTGGAGCCAGCCTGATGCTGGTTCGCTGGAAGGCTGTGAGGATGGTTGGAAGCCCACCTTGTGCCACACCTGTGCAACCAGGACTGGCCAGGTTGTAACTGAAAAGCTACACCAGCATGTACCAGTGTGGGGTCGAGTGTTGGTTGGGAGATCTCAGGGCCGGGCTAGTGAAATTCATTCCTTGGATCAGAGGGCTTGGGAACTCCATCACTGTAGAACATTCTCTCCTGGTTCTGTTAGGAAGCCCTCCCTGGTCTTCAGTAGCACAAGATTCAGCTGTTCCTCCTCATATAACAAAGCAAAGGAGCTCTGGGGCACAGTGGTTAAGTGTTCGGCTGCTAGCTCTTTAACCAACTCTTCTTCACAAGAAAGATGTGGCAGTCTGCTTCTGTAAAGATGACAGCCTTGCACACCTCCAGGGCAGTTCGACAGGGTCACTATGAGTCAGAACTGACTGGCTCACAAAGATTGGTTTTTTGGTCTCGGTGACAGAGGATGGAGCAGGGAGGAGAGTCCTGCAGGGAAGAGTCACATCAGGGGGCTAGGAACCAAGGAAGGGTCAAAGGAACACTGCAACCCCAGAGTAACAAAGGCAGCTCCAGGGTAAAAGGAACTCAGGAAGTCCAAAGGGAGTAACAAAGGCAGCTTCAGACTAACAAAGGGGTCAGGAACAAAGGCAAGCAGAACCAGAGTGAGAATTTCAAATGGGGAGAGCAGGAGAGGAGAAACCTGGGAACAGGAACAACACTTGGCTGCTAAGGACGAAGTCAGAGGTTCAAACCCACCAGCTGCTCTTCAGGAGAAAGATGTGGCAGTCTGTTTCCATAAAGGTTTAGAGTCTCAGAAATCCTATGGAGGAGTTCTGTTCTGTACTACAGTGTTGCTAGGAGTCAGAACCAACTCAACCACAAGGTTTTTGTTTTGTTTTTAGCAGGAATAACTGCCCAGAACAGAATAAACTGGGATGGCCCTGAAAAGCAGAGGTGAGGAAAGGTAACCCACCTCCCCAGCATCAGCTGCCCTGAGGCACCTGGGGCACTGTGTTGGAGAGGGAGGCAGAAAGAGAATTGCAGCTAGGCAAAGGCACGTAAGTGTGAAGTCAGGTGCTGAGAAGCTGAGAAACTGAAGCTGTTTGGATTTGCTGGGCCCAGGGCCAGGGAGGTGGCAAGGGAGGCCCTGAGGTCAGTGCCAGGTGACCATTGGGCAGGGGTCCTGAAGAGAGTGGACTATTTGGCTGTAGGCACTATGGGGTAAGTACTAGACTGCAAACCACACGGTCAGCTGTTCAAACCCACCAGCTGTTCCTTGGGAACTCTATACATTAACAACAACTACATGAGCCTATGGCCCAGCTCCCTAGGTCAGGTGGAATGGGGGTCAGATCAAGAAGTCCCCTGGTCCACACTGCCACTTGGCTGTCCTTTCCCTCCTCTGGGCTTTAGGAGAAGTCATTGGAATCTTGCTGTGGTGCTGTGGGTTAATGTGCCAGACTTCAAAGCCCTTTGAACTGCAAGATTGGTGGTTCAAACTCACCAGTTGCTTCTAGGAAACCCTATAGAGGGTCACTATGGGTCGGAGATGACTCAACAGCACTTAACAACAACTGTAGGATGCGCACTAGACTACTAACTGCAAGTTTACAGGTTCAAACCCACCAGCCACTCCTTGTTGTTAAGTACCTTCAAGTCAGTTCCAACTCATAGCAATCCCATATAGGGTTTCCAAGGAGCAGTTGGTGGGTTTGAACTGCTGACCTGTGTGGTTCACAGTCCAGTGCTGGTCCTACAGTGCCACACCCGAAGTCCTTGGAAACGCTAAGAAGGGTTGATTTGAGTCAATAGTGACTCTATGGCACTTAACAACATGGATGAAAGGAGTCTTCGGAGCGCTGTAGGGTAAACCCCCTACTACTGATACTGCACTGTAAGATAAGCACTCAACCTCAAAGTTCACACTCCTCAGTTGCTCCTCGGAAACCCTATACAGAGGGGCGCTACTCGACAGCACTTAACAATGACGCTAACTACAAGATTGGCAGTTCAAACCCACCAGTACTTCTGAAGGAGAAAAATCAGACTTTCTGCCCCCATAAAGATTTCGTGCTTTAGAAATCCTATACAGGGTCGCTAGGAGTGGAAATCGACTCATAACAGTGGCGAGTGGATGGCATGCATGAAGGTTACCCCAGACCTAGATGCTCCTTGGGAAGACGCAGCGAGTAGGGGGCTTCCCTCTGAGCTTTCAGCTTACATCCCTCTGCAAGGCCCTCAACCGCCAGAGATGGGGAGGGGCCTGCGGCCTGGGCGGGGCTCAGGGTGTGGCTGTAGGGCGGGCAGAGATCTGGTCACTGCCGGAGGGGGGCTAGGCGGTGGAGTTCGCAGTTTAACGCTCCGCTCCGGTAATGGTCCAGAGCTTCCCCGCTGGCACTGCTGCCCTAATGGGCATTAATGGACCCACGAGGATAACCAGGCCTCACTTAAGGACGCCTCCTTCCTCAGACTACCTCAGGCCCTGGGCACTCCTTAGGGTCCGAAATTGGAGCAGGCGGGACCAGCAGGACCGGAAGAGATTAACGGAGACCAGAAACGAGAAAGCGAGAAAGATAGGAGACAGAAAGAGAGGAGCGGGGGTGGAGGTGGGTGGGAGTAAGATGCGGAGAAGACCCAAGAAGGAGGCGGGCGCTGGGGCAGAAGGACCAGTGACCAGGGACGTCTAGGCAGCTCTGTCCCACCTACTCTCTTAGGCCCCGCCCCTAGCCCTTCCCAAGACTGTCTCCGGAAACAGCAGCGGAGCAGCGCTACCTGCTGGCTCTACCCGACATTGCATGCCCGTGGGGCAGCCTTTGGACTCCCTCCTTCGTCCAACCGTGATGCTGGAAATTAGGGTGAGGATGTCACCCTAAGACTAGTTGGACTTCAGGGGAATATGGGGTGCCATATGACACGGAGGGGACCGCTGCCTGACTCCGAATCTGTTCTGCCCGCCCCCCACACACACACACACACTTAGACCTGGCACCAATCTCTGGGCTGGGGTGCCACAATGCCACTTGAAATCTGAACACAGTGACCTAGACAGTTTGAGGTTTTCACGGCCGTTGGGTGGAGTCAGAGGCCAAATTTAAGAGGCTTCGATGGTGAGCGTGGAGGCGCCCAGATGGTTGAGTGCGATTCAAGTAAACTCCGAGGAGGGAGGAAGCAATTCAAGAGGGAATATGATTGAGAGGGCCCTGGTGAGGCAGAGGACAAGTAGACGGGCCCTTCATCCCTGGGAGGACGGCCTGGTGAATGACGGAGTGTCTGGGGGAGGCCCTCCTTGACATCTCAGTGGATGGGTGCAGGGCCCAAGGTCTGTCTGGTCCCTCCCTGGACGGGGCCTCCTCTGCCTCCAGAGACCCTGGGACCCAGCCTGGACCCTACCCCCAGATCAGGAGGCAGCACTGGCAGAAGAAGGAACCAGTTACCCGCAGCATTTTCGTCCGGATCCGACGGCAGGTGGGGGAGGGGGGTTCCCCTGGTCAGGAAGGGGTTTCTGGCATTTGCCAGGACGTGGGAGTGGTTGTTTGCAAAGTACACAGAGCGGAGGAAGGGGTCACACTCAGGGAACCAAGAGGGGTTTATTGACGAGACAGCGGATCTGGGCAGAGCTGTGCGCCCGGGCTGCTACACCAACACCTTCAGGGTCAAGCACCGGGGCGTCATGGGCAGAGACTACGCTCATGGAGGTCCCGGTGTGAGGCTGGGGCAGATGAAGGAAGCCAGCTGCGCGGACCCTTACTGGGCGGGTGGTATCTCCTCGAAGGCTCTAAAAAGAACAGCACAGGGAGGTGCAGAGGGGGCCGTGAGACATCCACTGTCTGCCGCCCGGGCTGGAAGGGTAGAGACGCGCGGGAAGAATTTTCTTCTTCAAGTTAGAAAGACTGAGGGTGACCCGCGGGGGCGAGGACTTGCCCTCTGGATCTCACCGAGAGATCCTCTACCATCGGGGCCCCGGGCCTTACCTCTCCCTCATGTACCTGGAGGGCGCCGCTAAGGCCCAGGAGTGGGTGTCCTGTCGCGGCTCCGGTTTCGGGGTGCGCGGGCTCCCGGGTGCACGGACTGGAAGCTCTGCCTGGGAGCTTCCTCGTGCCGCCTCCCGCAGCTTCTGCACCCCCGAGGGCAGCTGCACGACAGCTTCCCTGACAGAGGGCTCCTGGAGGGACACGCCCAGGCCAAGGGCCCCCGGGGTGAGGGTATCCCAGGAGCGGCGCCACCTGTAGGGCGAGCGGCCAAGGCCCAGGAGCAGGCCAGCAGCCCGACCCACAGTGCGGTAGCGAGGGCTTGCCATGTGCTTGTACCAGGCGCCGGCGGGTGCAGCCAGAAGCACCATTAGCAGCAGCAACGGCAACCTGTACAAGGGTCGACCCCCAAGAGTTCCCTGCCCCAGCCCAGGCATGCCCCGGCCTCGCACCAGGACACGCACGTCGACGGCCTCCTGCAGGGCAGTCTTGGAACGGACTTCTTTGGGTCTGGGCACAGGCTGGATCGGACCCTTTTGGGGCTGTAGCGCAGGGAGCGAGAGGCAAGGATGGCACATGGCCGAGACTGCTATTTCTGTTGTATGGCCCCGCCCAGGCCCCACCCCCGCCTCCGCGGTACCTACTCTGCGCCCCTAAGGGAAAGGGAGGGATAGAGGGGGGTGATGGCTCCCAGGCTATTGGAGGTGAGGGAGCCCGGAATGTCCTCACTGAGTGCTGAGTGGGTCTCTGACTGAAACCCTCTGGAGACTCAGCTAAGGGCACTCGTGCCCCCCTCCCCCCGCGCCCCCTCTGAGGAGGCAGGAACTAGGGGAGCACACTTCACCCAGCTCCTGCAGGAAGAGATTGGGAGTTGACCCAGCCCCGATGGGGTAAAGCTGGAGAGTTGCTAAGTGGGGTCCTGCGAACCATTCAAGACCCCTCTATGTCTCCTCCTCTGAGGTCTGTGGCTTGTCCTCATATAGCTCTCAGCTCCTCCGCCCTACACCCTTTCCTGTCTTCTCCTACCCCTGGCTTTTCCCCACCAACCCATTTCCCAGCTATGGTCAAATGAATGTGTGGAACCCAGCTGCCTGACCACACCATGCCCTGACTGACAGTTCACTGATATAGAAAGAATAAGGACCGTGTCCCTCCTCTCTCACCCCCAGCCCTGACCAGCTCCAGCAGCCCCCGTCTGGCCACACTGGGCCCAAGATTACCCCAGGCAGTGTTGGTGTTTTTTTGTTTCTTTTTTGCCTTATACAACAACATATGATTTTGCCAATCTCTATAGGTTCAAACCCACCAACTGCTCCTCAGAAATCCTATATAGGGTCAGACTCAATGGTACTTATCAACAACAACATAGGTTGGGTAAGGAACCCTGGTGGGTAGAGGGTTACAAGTTGAGCTGTTAACTGCAAGGTCAGCAGTTCAAACCCACCAGCCATTCTGCCAGAGAAAGCTGAAGCTGTCTGCTCCCATAAATATTTATAGTCTCAGAAACCCTAAAGAGGGTTTCTAAGTTTTCTATAAATGGAAATCAACTGCATGGTAGTGGTTTTTGGTTTGGTATCTCTCGTGCCTGGACGATCCTCTTCCTTCTCAACCTGGATCTTTTAGGATCCCCCTAAAAGGCTCTCTTCTGAGTATCCCCCTCAGAGTATTCCTCCCTGTACTTACCTACACTTAACAGCCCTCTCCCAGAATGCAGGCCCGACCCATTCCTTCCTTTGTCCCAGCCCAGGATGGATCTAGCCCTCAGAATAAACGGACCCTCAAACCGGCACACACACACACACACACACCCCAGTCCTCAGCAGCCACACAACTCATGGGACACCTTCTAGGCGCTTCATAGAGCAATAGAGTCTGTTCCAACTCACAGGGACCCTGTGAGTTCCTGACATTATAAATTTATAGGGTTTCTGACACTGTAAATTTCTGCAGGAGTAAAAAGCCTCATCTTTCTCCTGAGGAGTGACTGGTGGGCTCGAACCTCTGACTTTGTGATTTGCAGTCCAGTTTTACCCTACAGAACCATCACACTCCCTTCAAGGTCCTGTTGTTATTGTTAGGTGCCATTGAGTTCATTCCTACTCATAGTGACCTTATACACAATAGAACGAAACAATGCCCAGTCCTGTGCAAACCTCACAATTATTGTCACGCTTGAGCCCATTGCTGCTGCCACTGTGCCACCCCCATCTGGTTGGGGGGGCTCCCTCTTTTTTGTTGACCCTCCACTTTACCAAGCATGATGTCCTTCTCCAGGAACTGGTCCCTTCTGATAACATGTCCGAAGTCTGAGAGACGAAGTCTTGCCATCTTCCTAGGCACCAGGAATTTTGTCCCAGATTCTCATGGAATATTTATTGTGACCTGCAAACAATTCTAAAAGATGGGACTATAATTTGAGTCCACTTCACCAAAGAGCATTACGAGGATTAGTTAATCCAAGAAAACCTGTTGGGTAAACTGAGGGGAGGAGTAGGATTCAACCCAACTTCCCAGCTCAAAAGTTCAGGTTTGGGAGCAACTGCTGTAGTTTTGCATAGAAACCTCCTTTCTCTCTCTCTGTCTCTTTCTTTAAATAAAAGGAAAGGGTGTTTGGTGGGGGTTGAAGATGGGAAGTAACATGAGCCTGTTCTCTCTCCAAGACACAGAACCAGATGTACATGTTGTTGAAGGGGCCACAGGAGAGCTAGGGGGCAGAGGAGGGCACCTGTCTGGTAGTTCCCGGGGTCCCCCTCCTCCTCAGACTGGAGCTGTCTGGGGAGGGTGGGGAGCAGCTACAGCAGTCCTTCCCTCAAAGGCTACCCAGAGGGGTGAAAACTGTCATCGGATTCCAGAGGGTTAGATTCCAAGCTGCTTCGTGCTTAAAGGTAGCGGGTGTGATTGTGCGGGGGGAAATGCCTCAATCTCTATTTCCTCATTTGTTCATTGGGGATACCCATAGCGACCACCTCGACAGATTAATAATCCAGGCGTGGGCACTCAGTAAACGTTTCTGGCTATCTGTTGCTCTAGCTGTTCCGCAGGCTGACCAACGCTTCGATGGAGAGGTTGAGTCATAGGAGAGGGACAGCGGTAGGGAAAAGCCACCCGCATGCCTGGAGGGGCCTGGAGGACCCCAGAGACTAGAGGGCACCGCCAGGAAAGACGCCCCCGCCGTGCTCCCCGGGGCCCCCTTAGTCTGAAGAGCTGTTGGAGTGCACGGTGGGCGGGCGACGCGGCACACGGTCCCCTGACAGGGGCTCCAGGGACCCCAGGGACTGTAGTCGTGGCCGGGGAGTGTCTAGGGCGCCCCCTGGAGGCGGACTGGCAAGCTTCAGGAGAAAGGCCCATCCCTGGGAAAACTTGTTTAACTCTATGGTAAACGCAGTAGACCTAGCTCTAAGTTGCAGTATGTTGTTGTTGTTATTGTTAAGTGCCGTCGAGTCGGTTCCGACCCATAGCGACCCTGTACAAGGTTTCCGAGGGTGTAAATCTTTACGGGAGTAGAAAGCCTCATCTTTCTCCCGCGGAGCAGCTGGTAGTTTCGAACTGCTGGCCTTCAGGTTCGCAGCCCAATTCGTAACCACTACGCTACCAGAGCTCCGTAAGTTGCAGTATAGACAAATCTAAACACAATGTAGAAGCAAAAAGCCCCCACCGGAATCTACAGTCGCAGAGTCCATTCCTACTCATAGAGGCTTTAGGGGACAGAGCAGACTCATTTCATAGGGTTTCCTAGACTGTGAATCTTTCTGGGAGCAGATAGCCTTATCTTTCTCCCTCAGGAAGTTTCTGGTGGGTTTGAACTGCCAACCTGTGGTTAGCAGACCAGTGCTTAACTCACAGTGCCACCAACTGCCTACACAATGTGGAGTAAAAAATAAATTAATAAAAATCTTTTAAAAGGATAGTTGTTTTTTTTTTCTTTATTGTTTCCTAACCTCTAAATAAGGAGCTCTGGTAGCGTAGTGGTTACGAATCGGGCTGTGAACCGGAAGGTCAGCAGTTCGAAACTACCGTAGGATAAGCCTGGACTGCTACCCACAAGGTCATCAGTTCAAACCCACCAGCTACTCCTCAGAAAACCTATGCAGGGTTGCTATGAATCAGACGGCATTTGACAATAGTAACAACAACAAATACCAGCAGTAGGCTCTTCCACTTGTCTATAAACAAGCCTTGGTGGCACAGTGGTTGAAGCATTTGGCTCCTAACCAAAAGGTTGGTGGCTGAAACCCACCCACTACTGGGAGGGAACTTGGCAGTCAAGTTCCGTAAAGGTGACAGGCTTGGCAACCCTGTGGGGCTGTTCTACTTGGTCCTCTCGGGTCACTATGGGTCAGAATTGACTTGACGGCATACAGCAACTGAGAAGAGTAAAGTAGCCATCAGAGCGCAAAGACGTCTTCAAGGTTGAATTTGGGACAGAGGAGCTGCACAAAAGTCTGTCACTACGCCTGTTGGGGGTGCAAGAAGCCCAAGAACTAAGTTAGGGGAACAAAGCACAGAAGAGTTTCAGGTTTCCCGGAGGCTCCCAATCTGGGTGCAGAGAGGGGGAGGGTCCATGTCCTACCCAGCCCCAATCCTTGGGACCCCTGTGATAAAGAACCCTCCCTGAGTAACTGGCCAATCACTTTAGATCACAGTTTCTCAAATTTGACATTTTGGACCAAGAAACTGTCTATTGTGTGGTGATGTAGGCTGAACACTTGACTGCAAGGGTGGTTTGAACCACAAGGTCAATGGTTCAAACTCACCAGCCACTCGTTGGAAACCCTATACAGGGGTGCTATAAGTCAGAACTGACTTGGCTGCACTTAACAATAACAACAATGCTCTAGTGTAGGGGGTTGTTCTGTGCACTGTAGGACGCTTAGCAACATCCTTGATCTCTCTGCCCATTTGTGGTGAGTAGCATAATGTCCCCCCAAAGACGGCCCTGTCCTAATCTCCAGAAACTATGAATGCATTATGTCTCACAGAAGGCGAAATTACGGTTGTAGGTGGCCTTAAGGTTGCTAATTAGTTGACTCCAACACTTTGGTGGTGCAGTAGTTATGTGCTTGGTTGATAACTGAAAGGTTGGTGGTCTCAGCCCACCAGCTGTTCTGAGGGAGAAAGATGTGTGTTTTGGGTTTTAGTCAATTGGTTTTGAGATAGAGATGATCCTAGATTTTCTGTGTGGGCCCAATATAATCACAAAACCAAATCCATTGCCAAGTCAATTATGACTCATAGCAACTCTGCAATCCAGAGTAAAACTACCCCCTTACGATTGATTTTCCAAGGCAGAAATCTTGAAGGAAGCTGACTGCAACATCTTTCTCCCGCAGAGCAGCTGGTGGTTTGAAGTGTTGACTTATAGGCTAGCAGCCCAACACGTAACCATTTACCTCCTGCTCCACCAGGGCTCCTCCATGGAATCACAAGGCCCCAAACCCACCACTGTTGGGTCAATTCCAACTCACGGTCTTGTTGTAGTTGTGTACCATCAAGTCAGTGCCAACTCATAGCCACCTTGTATAGAGTTTCTGAAAGTGGCTGATGGATTTGAACTGTCAGCTTTGCTGTTAGCAATTCA